CCCCCCCCCCCCCCCCTCCAGTTCTCTTTTACCTTTCAGTACCGTCCCTTTCTGTTTTTACTGCTAAATCTCCTGGGCCCTTTAATAGGCGGCCGCTACTGTGACTCTTCTGTCTGTAGCCAACTGCTCTGACCAGCTTCCAGAGCTAGAAAGCTGTGCAGGTGGGCAGGTTGAGGATTCGGGTGCTCTAGTCTCCCCGTTCCTGTCGTGCGCCCTCTTGTGGTGGGTACCTCTGAGCCAGGGAGATGAAAGTGAGTGAGAGAATGGCCTTAAAAACAGTAGGGTATCAAAGCAGATGCTGAGACTCATAACCAAACTTTCGGCAGAGTGCAGAGAATCTTGTGAGAGAAGGGGGAGATAGACTTGGAGGGGACAGGAGCTCCACAAGGAGAGCAACAGAATAAAAACATCTGGGCCCAGGGGATTTTCTGAGATTGATACTCCAAACAAGGACCATGAATGGAGATAACCTAGAACCCCTGCACAAATGTTGTCCATGGCCGCTCAGTTTCCAAGTGGATTCCCTAGTAAGGGGAACAGGGATTATCTCTGACATAAACTCAGTGGCTGGCTCTTTGATCAGCTCCCCATGAGGGGGAGCAGCCTTACCAGACCACAGAGGAGGACAATGCATCCAGTCCTGATGAGACCTGATAGGCTAGAGTCAGAGGGAAGGGGAGGAAGTCCTCCCCTCTCAGTGGACTTGGGGAGGGGCATTGGAAATGAGAGAGGGAGGGTGGGATTGGGAGGGGGTGAGAGAGGGGTCTACAGCTAGGATACAAAATGAATAAGAAGTGTGTCTATTTTTGCCATAATTTCCCTTTGTCCTGCCAGGTATAGCCTATTAAAGTTGTACAATGCACAGGCAGCATTGGGAAAGTGACTGTAGCTGAGTATGGGGGTTGTTAGTCAGATATGAAGGATAAAGGAAACCATTTTATAATTTAGTTGGTATTCTCATATTGCTTATTCAGGACCCGTCAACAGAGAAGATGAAGACTTGAAGTCACCAAGCTTAGGTTTTATTCGCAGTATACAGCCTCCTAGCTACTAAGATAATAGCTGTTTATTTGACGAATATATCAACATGGCCTTTCAAAACTTTCAGCACCAAGAAGGACTAATTGATCTGTGTGCTGGATAGTTTTACGGCAATGTGACACAAGCTAAAGTCATCCGAGGGGAAGGAACCTACCTCAATTAAGAAAATGCCTTCATGAGATCCAGCTGAAGGATTTTTTTTTTTTTTTTTTTTTAGTGATTGATGTGGGAAGGCCCAGCCCTGGTGGGTGGGGCCATTGCTGAGCAAGCCTTGAGGAACAAGCCAGTAAGCAGCGTCCTTCCATGGTTCGCTGTATCATTTGCCACCTCCGGGTTCCTGCCCTGCTTAAAATTCTTTCAGTGATGAATCATGATGTGGATGTGTAAGCCAAACAAGCCTTTTCTTTCCCAACTTGCTTTGATCATGGTGTTTCATTGCGGCAATAAAAACCCCTAACTAAGACAGCGGACATTTTTTATTTTCTTCATGTAAAACATTTACATCTCAGAACTTGGAAGATAGAAGGTATGTTAGAGAGCTTCTAAACTGCCCTTGGCCACTTGGCAAATGAAGAAGCCGAGATTCAGTGAAGTTGGATGTTGCTAAAAGCATGTCTGCTTGTGCTTAGTTTCTCTAACATGTGCTCAATTCTATCACCCTTTGGACTATGTGACACGATCCAGGGAAGGTCACAGAGCTGTTGGGGTGTTTGCTAATATGGCAGTTGCAGCCAATCACAGTTAATGACCCCCACAACCGAAGAGTCTATGCTTACAAGACTAATTTAAGAAGCACTTTTCACAGCTCCCTTTCATTGCGATAACTTCAAAGCGTTGTCCCTCAGGGCTAGAGAGATGGCTCTGGTTAAGAGTGAATACTGCTCTTGCAGAGTACCAGAGTTTGATTCCCAGAACCACATTGGATGGCTCATATTTCATTGAATTCTGGCTCTAGGGAACTAGGTGTCCTCTTCTGGCCTCTGAGGGTACTGCACAGACCCATACTTAGACAC